CTGCGGAGATTATCAAGATCTAAAAGAAAACAGATTATATAATAAGGTAGAGAAAGAGTAAATTAGCTTGTGACTCTTAATTCCCTTAATTATTTAATATTAGCACATTCTGGCAGCAACAATATTAAACTACCTCTGTTAACAATTTGAAGTTAGTCCAATTTAAACAAAAATTGCACAGTACTGCAGAGATACTTACACAATAACTCTTCAACCTAATGAAGTCGACGGTCATGGGGATTGATTTGTCACTGTTTCTGTTCAGAGCTTTGATGTAGTCTAATAAATCAGCAAAAAATTTATAGCCACCCTTGAGTACACAGAGTGCTACAATGTGGTGTCCTCCCATGCCCTTCATAATTTCTCGTGCCAGTCTCTCCGTCCTACATAAAACCAAGAAAGAGTTAGCTGCCACAACACATTTCATTTGCTTACTACAGCAGCAGCATTTTATACTGCCAACAGTAGCAAACACATGCACTGAACTTGGAAACACACTTTGCTCAGAAATATTTGCCTACCACTTCAGTCACTTTTACATGTTACTGGTCAACAAAGTTTTGCTTTTCAAGGTTAATCTAACAGCAGCACTGCCAAATGCCTTTGTTGTCATACGTCACACTCAGCCAAAACAAATCTTAACACCTGAAGCTGTTTCACTGTCAGATATGCGACATGAAGGTGTGTTTTCTCCTTCCAAAGGCAGGTTCAGCTGCCATGCAAAGAGTAACATTAGCAAACGCAATCAAAAGGGCAGTAGCCCTCGCTAACTGAGGAGCAAGAAAATTCTCAAATTGTAAACTAAAGAGTTTATGTTTATTTGCCAAACTAGAATGCCAGAAATTTGTCCTAACAGCAAAATACAATACCAATGAAGCCGAGCAAGAGAACACTGCACCGTTTTTCTGCAATCATTGTTTCTAAATGTGTCTTGTAATTTATTTTAGAAACCATGATATGTATTTGTGTGCCAGCTGACAGCAGATTTCTCAGAAAAAGCCAACCATTATAAACTTTACATCAATTACCTAACATGTCCTCTGTCCATTTTTTTCCTCAATACGGACTGCCAGTGCAAAGTTTTTACAATATTTTAAAAAAATACATTTATAGGAATGTTTAGTATATCTTATCAAACAGGACCATGCAAAATCTAGATGCATTTCTGTTCACAAGATCTCCAGGAAGATCCACCCAGCATCACTCTTAAGTGGTTGTGTCTCCAACAAGAGCTACACTGAATTTGTTGTTCATTCTCTTGATGGAAATTAGCAACTATAAAACACAAAAGTGTCTTATAGGCTTATGCACCCATTTCTGCTCACATGAGAGAAAACTTCACAGCACATCATAGATTTCAGCAATCCCAGAAGTGACAGAGTGATATTTGCAGAGGCTAATGTCTTTCCCAGAAAGTAGGAGAAAGTTGGATATTACTTATCTACCACACAAACATGAGAAAGTCTAAGATGATGTGATTAATAATTTACTTTTATTAATATCCTAAGGAAATTCAAGAGACTATAGTTGTTTTCTGACTGAACTGGCACAACAAATTATGTCTTCTAATTAGGTCTTAAGAAGGTAAAACATCACAGAAATGCTGGAAGAAAAGTCATAGATTGCTATGTACCATACAAATTCACCTGAAAATTATGATAAATTTCCAAACAATAGCCTAACTGCAAATGTATAAACTCTTAGCATCTGAACAAGAAAGAGTTAATTAGCACTTGTACTTCTTAGTCTCTAATTAAATGTAATCTATTTAGACAGTCACCAGGCAGCAAAACTATCACTGGAAGGTTGTTTATTCCAGCACCATGGAATCAGCCAGAGCAGTGTACTGTCTGAAGTCAAACCAACCTGTCCATGATGAGCCCATGAGGAATATAGACTTTTTCCAAATCATCTGCATAATGTTTAGGTATGCAGAACAAGTCCAGGTCATAACCTTGTTCATCATCGCCAATCTGAAAAGGAAACAAGGTAAGATTTCTACAAAGCCTTATAGAAAGTCTGTGGTGAGAAACTGCAAGTCCTTTGCTTTATTCAGTAAGCTATCAAACCCATTACACTCATCGGGACCACCTTACTTTCCCTCTCTATAAAAACATTAGTGCACCGAACATAGCATAAAGTGTAATCTAACAGAACCCACAGTTCACAAGAGTCGCTTGAAATGCCACATGAGCTGTTGTGCTATACAATGTGGGGAAGAAACTAAGTCCTAACAACATCCTCCTACATCGGAGAGCAGGAAAGCGAAGCTAACACACATCAATGAATCTCTTTACTCCATCAAAAAAATAATCAAGGAGCTTTTTAACGCCTTTGATTTTCCTAGTGTAATGCAAAACCTGCATTTGCAATCAAGCAAGCAGAGGGACATGGACATCTTCCAACTCTGCACAACACCAAATCACAACAAAACACACGAGCCAGTTTTCAGGACACGACAAGACAGGTACAGGAGCATGACAAGTTTTGCTGCTGGGAAGCAGGCCTTCTCAGACCACCATCTGCAAACCGCGAAGGTTCAAGATCTTTGAGAATCTGAAATGAAAGCCCTACTTCTGCAACCTGTTCCGCACAGGCAAATTCACTCTATGGAACTGCCTGCAATATTAGCAAGTGTACATTAATTAGGACAAGGGATTAGCATAGGTATATAATTATACCAAACACTGCTGAGGTTCAGGACACAACGCTGCAGCAGCATCAAAAGCAGCCTTCCCTGAACCTTAACCCTGCTACAATTCAAAAATAACTGTGTTTTTTAATTACTTCACTCTCTGGTTATGCAGCTGAATGCTATTACATGTAAAATGAAGTTACGGATTTCAGAGGGAAAATGAAAGGTTATCACTGACAGTTCACCAGGGCAGGCATTTTAAGTATCCATTTTGGTTACCACTTGCCCTTGCAGGACCAATCTTATTTCGGTGCCCAAGGAAGCACTTACCTGACCTGTGATCAGCCAACTGTTTACATGGCTTTCTGTTGTGTAACCCCTAATGAGTATTTCAACCTCCCATCCAAAACAGACCCTGTATGAGCTACCCACACACCCAGCTCAGGCATCGAGGGTCCCTGCAATCCAGAGCAGGCCGTTATTTTAAGGAATAAGACAGGTCCCTCCAAAAACACATGGTACTTTCCTGTGGTTCAGACCCATCATTGTATCTAGCATGTCTGCTAAACCTTCCTTTCTGCATTTGGTAGGGAATGGACCCTTCCTACGGATTTTATGAGGTTTGTTATTGTCTGCAGGGATTTACAGTCGCAACCTTACGGCCAGCACAGCTCTCAGCCGTCGGACACCACATGTATCATGAGCACCCGTGCCGGTGCCTGGCTTCAAAAAAATAATAAAAATGAATACGTAAGAGCCTTAGCAGATACGGCCACGATGCAAAAAAAACATCTCCCGAATGCTCTTCCTCCAAAAATACATCCTAACTTAAACATTTAGGCGGCTTACAGCGCACTCCGGCTCTCCCTAACAGACCGGTGCGTCCCCAGCACGCTACAAAAAGCAACAGGAATAGGAAGTTGTGCCGCGCCGAGCTCGTATCTGCTGGGAAGTTGTTTCACCTTCATTTCTGAGGCGGCAACCCCGGCTCTCCTCGCCGTCCTCCGGCTTTAAATCCTCCCGAAACGCCACCCGTGACCGCGAACCCACACCCGCGCTGTCCGGCTGCAGGAAGGGGCAACTGGCCCGGGCACCGCTCGGGGGACGAGAAAGCGCCTCGGCCGAGGGCAGGGGAGGGAGCCCCGGGCCCGGGAGGCCGGGGCT